AAACTACAGAAGGCACTGTATGGTCTTCTACAGACACCAAAAACTGGTGTGATAAACTAAAAGTCTACTTAACCTTGGGTTCGAAGCCTTGAGAGAGGATACGTCGTTGTTCATTCGAAAAAGGAACGGTGTGTGCACATATATTTTGGTTTATGTGGATGATATCATACTTACAGGACACTCTGATGCTGAGATTAATGGTGTTGTTCAAGCTCTCCACAATCAATTTTCGCTAAAAGGTCTTGGCTTTCTTACCTACTTCCTTGGTATATAGGTTAAAAGGATTGGTACTACTCTTGCTCTTAGTCAAAGAAAGTATATATGTGAGTTGCTGGAAAAAAAACAAACATGCTCAAAGCAACACCTACACCTACACCAATAATGGTTGCATCAAAGTTGGTGGAGCAATCCGGTGAACTGCTTACTAATACTAGTGAGTATTGTAGTATTGTTGGGCTCTGCTTTATGTCTGTGGTGTTTAGTGTTAACAAAGTAGCACTTTTTATGCATGTTTCGTATGCTGCTCATTTTGTGGCTGTCAAGAGGATTCTTCGTTACCTAGCTGGTACACTCGATCGTGGTCTGGTTTTCTCCCCTGATGGTGTTGGATTGAAGATTACAGCCTTTTTTGATGTTGACTGGGGTGGTGATACTGGAGATCATCATTCTATGTCCGGTTATGGTGTGTTTGTAGGGCGTTGTCTTGTTGCTTAGAGCTCTAAGAAGTAACGAACAGTGTCTCGATCCACAATGGAGGCTGAATATCATAGCATAGCTGATGCTGCTGTCGATGTTACTTGGGTTGGTGCTCTATTGGCTGATCTAGAGATGGACGTTTGTAGTGAACCTGTCATTTGGTGTGATAATACCAATGTCGTGGCATTAAGTGTGAACCCTCCCTATCATGCACGTTCAAAGCATGTTGACCTGGATATCCATTTTGTCCGTGAGAATGTGTCTGCTCGTCAGCTTCGTGTTAAATATGTCCCAACCAGTTGTCAAGTGGCTGATGGTATAATGAAACCACTGACTAAGGCTGCGTTTGAAGATTTTCGCGAAAAGGTTTGTGTGTTGATGTGTTAACATGAGGAGCTTGTAAGGAGGGGAGAATATTGGGGATAAAGTTGGTCCCACGAATGAAGTATGATGTAAATCCAACATGTGCAATGTTAGTTACACTGTTAGGTTATTGTTGAAGAATAGTTAAGTGGTTAAGGTTTTGGTTAAGCCTAACTGCTTAGGTCTGCAAGTTAGTCATGCACCAGTAGGTGCTATAAATGTTGTATAGTTATTTGTGTAAAGGCATTCAAGTTTAGAAATAAAGATAGCTTACTGGTTTATGAGTTGTGTGTAGAGTTTCTCAACAAGGGTCAAAATACTCTCCCCAAAAAAAATAAGGGCTTAGGTGAATATTTAATCAAAAGTTAGGGACATTTTTTTACCTTATGCCTAGATTTATTAATATGCAAGTTTCTTTAGTACCCTAATCAATAAATATTATGGGTATTAGTGTTAGATGTTAAGTTGTTCACGTGGATTCATCTTGTATTCTTTTATTTTGACATAAGCAAAAATTCTCTTCTTCTATAAAAGATTTTTCCCAAAAGAATTTTTTACGTGAAATCTTAATGTCTATTTTATTCTATGATTACTATACTTGTCATTATCTTTTAACATTAACAAATTAATAGTGTGTGTGTATTTTACTAGATTTCTTGTATGTTGTTTACTTCAAGCATCTCGGCGGCAATGGTGATTGCTTATGTGGGGAAGGAAGGGAACCCTGATGCAGGTTGGCTACAATATGTGACCAAGTGAGGAAGTATTGCAACCAAGTTAAAGGAGCTTTAGTTGTTCGTTTATTAGTCTCATTCTCTATATCTTGCTCTTCCTCTACTCCATTCATACTGCCCTAAACCCTCTTCTACTTGAAAAGTCTTAAGACACTTAAGGTTTACCTATAGAGCTTTGCTTTCATTTTTTTTAGTGTTGTTTTCATTTTAATTTTCATTTTTGGCATATAAGATTATGCAATGCCTTTATTGAATTTTTGGAAGGCTGGAGATGTTTTGTGTGCTCCAAGAATTTATCTTTTGTTTATTAATGAAAACTAAGAGCTTTGTTATGTGGTATAAATTGAAAATTGGGTTTAAATAAATTATCAAATTAATTAAAGAACCAATAATGCTAGAGGCCATGGAGAGTTATCAAGTCATCATCTTATGTCCCTTTAATATTTGGAGTTTCATTAATCAATTAATAGACTCAAAAAGGCTTTCACATCACCCCATTTTTTCTTCCAAAGTCCTTTGAGAGGACATCAAATTTTCAATACAATTAGACTAGAAAACCCTTAGATAAATTAAATAAGCATTACATTACATTCATGCTTGAAGTGAGATATATATATAGAGAGAGAGAGGGGGATAAGATTATATTACACAATGTAAAATTCTTTTAATTTTATACAGATTTAAGACTATTGGATAAGTAAAAATAAATTGTTGAGATTAACTCTTTGTTTTTTTATCCCCAGTGAATATCTTCTCATTTTCTATTGTTAATCTCATCTATCTATTTTAACAGTTCTAAATTTTTAGAAAACTAAAATAATTTTAAATTGTATAATTAGATATATCCCTATATATATATATATATATATATATATATATATCGATTTTAATAGGTAATATACACCTAAAATCAAGTTTGAGTGTTTTTAGATTTATTTTAATTCAAATTTCATTATATATGAATAGAGATAAAAAAAAATATGTACGATGGGTTTTAATTTGATCCTAATTCAAATCTCATTATTTTTTCTTTAAATATATCCTAAATCCAGTTATGTATGGTTAACAAGTAAACATATATTTAATAACTTTCATTTACATGTAAAATATATATGAAATACAAGACAAAGATCTTGAAATCTAAGGTCAATGTTTAATAAAGGAAATATATGTATATTTGGGCCAACTTTTCAAATATTAACCCTACTGCGTCGTCATTAAGTTTTCAAGATCAAGGTTACATCATGGAAGAAAATAATGAAGTAATTCCCCACTTGCTTCAACTCTATGCAAGGTTAGGTTGTTTGTGTGAACATGATGTCGACATTCTTGTTCTACTTTGGATAGTGGACGTTGGGAGGATCGTATTTTTTTAGAAAATTTAAATTTTTATTTAAATATTTTTTATAATTTAATTTTATATTTTTAAAATTTTACAATTTTATATTTCTTAAATTTCTAATATATTTATGTCAATCAAAAATAGGCTCATTTAAATTTGGATCGATGTGGATAGTCTATGTGATAATGCGACGGTACGGGTGTAAACGAGCCGAGTCAAGTTCGAGTATTGCTGAGCTCGACTCGACTCGACTCGAAAAATCTATAATGGAGCTCGACTCGACTCGAAAACTCGTGAGCTTAAAATTTTCAAGCTCGACTCGAACTCGAAATCCTGAACTGAAGCTCGTGAGCAACTCGAAAAGGCTCGAAATGAAAAAAAAATTCTTAAACTTAACTCGATTGAAGTCTTAAACTCAAACTCGAACCTGAACCTTAAATACATTAAAATCTTACTGGACTTTTTATTAAAAAAATCAATACATAAATGTTACTATTATTAATAATTTATTTTTAAAAAAATAAAATGTAAATATATTATATTTTCGAGCTGCTCACGAGTTTTTCGAGTTGAATATCAAGTAGCTCGTTTCAGCTCGTTAAGAACTCGAGTTCCAGTAGAGTCCATTCGATCCGAGTATTTATTGAGCCTTGACCGAGTCGATCTCGAGTAGCTCGCGATCTATCTAGTCTCATTTACAGCCCTAAATTGTGACGGTGTCTAAAGAGCATCTTTTATTTGAATGCTCCTTTTGGAGATGGGTTATTGTGTCTTGCAACCTTTGTCATGCGATTGGGCATGGTCGGTTTTGGGTATTTTTTGGCCCGGGACAAAATAAAAGAAATGAGTCCTTATTTATGTTCTTTATTTTTTGGCTCAGGCGAAATAAAAGAAATGAACCCCTAATTATATAAAATCTTATAGTTTTAAATTAATAAGCACTATGAAAAATATTATGTGCCATGGGCGGGCGCCCCTCTTGCCCCGGCCCAGGGCCGGCCCTGCGATTGGATCGTGGAAGCAAGAAATTGCTTGGGCTGTTACTCACTTGAACTTACTCTCATCTTAAAGCTAGTTTGGAGTGTATTTTTATATACGGCGTGGACAGAAAGAAACAATAAATTTTTTGTGAATAAATTAGATTTTGTTCTTAATTCCATTAGATGGAAAGTGTATTGATAGGTCTGACCATGTAAATGAACTTTTTTGTATAGCTTGGGGTATACTCGACTGAGCACCCGATTTCCTGTGATTGCTCGTCTTTAATTGTAACGATTTTTGTTGTTTCTTTGGATTTAATACATACAAAATTATCTAAAAAAATTCTAATATACTTCTTAAATGTTCGCTTCGATAAAATGATACTTTTTTCCTTAGTCTTATCATTTTATTTTCACTTTTTATCTTTTAATTTTTTTTATTTTTACTGTTTTAAAAAAATAATTAAATTCTTTTATATGCAATCAAATCTTTAAAATAATAAATTTTATTAATTAAGTTATATGATCGATAATTTTCACCTACAATCGTTACCATGATAACATGATCATTAATCTAAAAAATATAATAACTAATTTGATTGATGTCACAGTTAATATAATGATATGATAATGAAAATTAATTATTTTTAAAATTCGAAATATATAATAGACAAACCATAAATAAACTTTATTGAGAAGGGAAGAGTCAACAATACAAAATCATATCTACCCATACATGGGGTGTACAAATACATGCATCACATGTATTCTCAACCAATGGGAAACTAAGTAATAAAATCAAGAACGCCACAAAATGTTTTTCTCACATGATAGGGCAAAAAACCAGACAAGATTTAATGTAATGATGAGAATATTGAAGTCCTACTACCGTATGAATGTGGCCGCCACCACAAGCAGCAAAGAGAATGACAATTTGGTGGTGGTGGTGATGGCGGTGGCCGCGCTTCCATTCGATGATGATCCATCTTCCTCTCGGGATGGCACAGTTTTAGATCCACCTTCTGTAGCAAACGTAAAATATATGGATATAAGACACGAATACCTCAAAAAAAAAACGAAAGGTGACAACAATCTAGTACCTGTACCTGTAGGGACTATGCTCTCAGATTCCGGTGATCCAACTGGAGCGTCTGCCGGCATCGGAGAAGCGGCTAATGATAACAATCAGGGTCATGGTGTTAGATTCATGCAAGAATGAGGTTGAAAAATAAATAGATTAGTATTAATATAAACCCATACCATTACAGCTGCTGATAGGTGGAGTTTGAACATTGCATGAACCAGGTAAGGCCAAAGCTTGAGTCCGGTTGATGGTGATCCCGAGCGATGAACCTCTGCCATTAAGAACCTCGCACAAGCATTGTGGGGATGAACGGACGACGCTTGCGAGCTGCGAGCAACATTGTCGGGACGGGGTCGATAAGTTTCCCGTGATGTAGTTGCGGCATGGTGACATGCTGATTAATACATTAGTGCAACCTGATTGAGCTTTGGCTCCTGCAGAAAGCATGGCTACTAGGAGCAGGACAGAACATGTTACCATCTTCATGTTTGACATATTGCTTCTCTATGGGTTATTGGATGATTTCTGAGATTTATGTAGCAACTTTGCTATGATGGTTTTATAAGGAGACTATATGCAAATGATGGCAGTTGTGGGTGACCAACTTTGCTACTACTCTTTGAACTTGATCAATAGTCAACTACACACATATACATATATATACGTTTGCAGGTGTTCAATAGTGGAGGCTTAAGGCTTTATAAAATTATATGTGGGTGACCAACCTAAAAACAAGTGTGGATGGGTGGGTAACTAGGGATGGTCAAGGGTCGGGTTGGGATTTTCGCGTACCCGAACTCAGTCCGAGTATAGCATCCTTCTATCTGTCATTTGATCCAAGTTAAGAGAAATTTTATTTGATCCGATTTTTAGATTAAAAACACTCACCCTATCCCTACTCGACACAAATATTTATAAAAAGAATATCATTTTTATTAAATAAAATAGGGACCTATTTGAAAAAAAAATATAAAGAGGAGGTATACAATTATCTCTAAATATATAAATGTCAATTATACTATTATTCTTGGGTCGAGTATTTTTCACCCTAAATTTAAACCTGACCCGATTTTATCCTTAAAAAGATCCGATCTGAACTCGAATTTAAAAAAAAAGTAATATCATAAAATCATATCGATTCAAAATTCCTCAAATTCGAATCTAATACTCATTTGGGTAGAACATTAGGGAACGGAAGGTAGATTTTGAAAAGTCAAAATTATAAAGAAGTCACCATCGTCTACAAAAATGTCAAAATTATATTTAGATTTTGTAATCCTATAACTTTTAAGTTCATTCTTTTAAATTTTTAATATAACTTTACGAGTTTATGTTTATTAACACAAAATCTTATATCTATCTTTATTCGTCTTTATTATCTTTTAAAAAAAGTTGCAACTAGTAGCGTAGCAAAGGAATATTCATAGTTATATATGAATGGAAGTAGTTGGCAATAGAATGATAAAGAACCTACTTCAACAATATTGGATTTGGTTATCTATTTTATTATTTAAATCTTTTGATTTAGTTGTCATTAACTAATCAATCAAGGTACACTAATCACATACTTAAAAATAAAATATAACTATTAGTTGATCTTATGAGACATTAGATCAATTATAAGAGTAACAGTTTGAATTCCGACGTTGTGAATGAAAAAAAAAGTTGAATTAAAAAGGTTACTCATAATGAATGTTTGTAATATTTAAGGTTTAATATACAAATAAGTATCCAAATTATATCATTTTTCCCCGAATATGTGCCTAAAGTATTTTTGGGACCATCCAGGTGCCTAACGTTATAAACGTGACCACTTTAGGTGCCCGTGACGTAACAACCGTTAGTTTTCTCTGTTAAGTGACATGTGTCATAATATGATAATTTTGAAATTTATTTTTTTAAAATATTAAAAATATTATTATATTTATAACAAAACCCAAAATTCTTTTAAATTACAAAAAAGCCTCAAAATCCATAAAGTTCCCAATTCCTACCACTAACCCACCACCGAAGCAGTTTCTATCATCATCCTAGTTATACGTCGTCGTAATTGTCTTCGTTTAACCGTCGGAATCGTGTGGGATCGTGATTTTCATCCTAGGTTCGTATGGTATAAAACTTCGATTCACTGTCGATAAGTCACGATTTTATTGAGGTTTTGGTTGTCGAGAGGAGGTGAGGTCGGGTGGAGCTTCGTCGACGACAAAAGGCTGTGGTTGGCGTGAGTTTAGGGATTGAAATGATTTGGGATTATTTTTGAATTTTACGTGTTTTTTTTAAAATATATATAATATTATTTTTTAAATTTATATAAAAATTTTAAAATTATCATATTCTGACACGTGTCACTTGACAAAAGAAATTAACGCCGTTGACGTTCCGGACACGTAAAATAGTAGCGTTAAATACCTGAATGGTCTAAAAAATATTGTAGTCACCTATTCGAGAAAAAAAAGTATAATATAAGTACTTATTTGGATATTAAGTCAATATTTAATTTAGATTAATTGGTGAATGAATCGGAATCAATGAATATTAGATAAGTATAGCACAAAAATACTAAAATACATTGTGTCCTGCCACGCGGAACAAGTGGAAAATTTGGGCGATTGCTTCAAGTAAAGATAGGGTCCATTAAGTACATACGTGAGGCAACGTAGCTAAACCAATCTCTTTTGTTGTTTTATTCAACATTAGTTAAAGTAGTTGAGCTTCAAATCCACCTCTTTTTCTTACCTAAACCCAATTCCCAGCGTATAAATAAACCCACTCTCCTCTTGTCTTCCCAACCATCACATACCAACACTCCAATCATCTGTCTTTGGTCTCTTCTCATTACCACAATGGAGTTTTCCAACTCATCTTCTCACCATGTTCCGGTTCTGGTCTTATCGACGATGATGATGTTGTTGTCGTTGCCTGTTTATGGGCAGATCAACAATCCATGTACTCCCACCGTGGTCAGCACCTTCACGCCCTGCATGAATTTCCTTACCAACACCAGCTCGGCGAATGTGAGTTCGCCGAGTGTGAATTGTTGTAACTCTCTTAAGAACCTCACCAGTGGTGGCATGGACTGCGTGTGCCTCATTGTCACCGGAAATGTCCCTTTCTGGATACCGATCAACCGTACCCTGGCCATATCTCTTCCCTTAGCTTGTAACATGCCCGGTGTCCCTCTACAATGCAAAGGTACGTGGAGTATTGAAATGGACTTTGGTGGTTAGGGACGGACATAAAATTTTATATTAAGGGATGAACTAATAAAATTTTAGGAAACGAAAGATTATCAAAATAAAATATAAAAGATTACTTCAATTATATAGAAATTTAAAAATTTTAGTGTGACGTTGGTTCATCCCTGCTCATGGTGGTCCCAGTTTCGTGTCTAATAAAAATTTTCTTTGTTTTGTAGCGGCCGGTGGTGCGCCTATTCCTGCTCCGGGTCCAATCTCACTAGCACCCACACTCTCTCCTGGAGTTTCGCCATCTTTAAGCCCCACAGGTTCCGTCGTGCCTGAACCGACACCGTCAGCCGAAGCACCGGATTCCGACACCACACCAGCGCTAACTCCGCCATCATCGACGGATAGCTCTGGAGCTCCTCCGACAGCCACTACAGGGAGCCGGGCTGGTGTTCCCATCAGCTGCCCACCCCTCTTACAGTTTCTCACCATTCCTTTTGGTGTTAACATTAGGATTTGTAATATTCAAGTAATGCTGGGTTGTAATGTCTCCAATTTTTGTTTTGAAGTAATAATATATTTTCTATTAAGTTTATATACTGTTTATAATTAAATTTAAATAATATATTATTTTAATTATTGATATTCGATTTATTGATCAATTAATTTAGATTAGATACCGTCAATATCTTTTATAAGAGTGACACTATCAACTCAATTACTTATTCGCAACATCATATTCGAACCCTAATATTGTTTAAGAAATTTAATAACTTATCTCATACACCAATTATTTTATACCGAAATCTGATCAGTTCGATAATTTTTAAATTAATTTTAATTAACTGAAATATTTTAATTAGAATCCACCTTAACGTCCATTCCCGCCATTCTCCACCAATTTACTTAAACACCCTTCCGTAACACACTATTAACAACTTAACCAACCGTTCTCTTTCTCGCTCTCTCTCAGCGCCATGGCAACGAACATCTTCTTATTGCTCCTCAATATCTTTTATAAGAGTGACACTATCAACTCAATTTATTTTATTCGCAACATCAATATTCGAACTCTAATATTGTTTAAGAAATTTAATAACTTATCTCAATACACCAATTATTTTATACCGAAATCTGATCGGTTCGATAATTTTAAATTAATTTTAATTAACTGAAATTTTAATTAGGATCCACCTTAACGTCCATTCCCGCCACATTCTCCACCAATTTACTTAAACACCCTCTCCGTAACACACTATTAACAACCTTAACCAACCGTTTCTCTTTCTCGCTCTCTCTCAGCGCCATGGCAACGAACATCTTCTTATTGCTCCTCCTTGCGGCGGCGCAGCCACCGCCATAAGAGCCTCAGAAAGCAGGCTGCGTGGACGAGCTGGTGGCGTTTTCACCCTGCCTGCCCTTCGTGTCGGACCCTCCAAACAACGCCTCTGACTCCGTTGCTCCACAGTGCCGGGACGTCTTCGCTTCTGCTTTTGAATCCGGCGACGGTTACTGTTTCTGTTTCGTCCTCAGGCAGCCATTGATATTTGGGTTCCCATTGAACAAAGAAAGGGTCGCTTCACTGCCTTCTTTTTGCATGGCCCAGAACGGCGTCTCTTCTCTGGACTCGCTCTGCTCTTCAGGTTTTCATCTTTTAAACCCAATTGTTCAATTCACTGGTTTCTTGATTAAGAATTCACCTGGTTCAAGGCCTTTAATCTTTTGATTTCATAAGGAAATTAGTTTTTTTTAACGCTTTGATGAATGTGATCATGCAATTCTTAATTAAGATTATGCGATAGATGTACCATCGTTGCCGCCATTGCCAAGCACCACAGATTCAGTGACATTGAAACCATCCAATTCTCGTAAGCAAAACCCAAATCATTGTTTTCCTTTTTCATGGCTGAAATAATCATTTGCAGCAATCTTGTAATGGGCAGATATCAAAAGCATATTAAGGCAATGGCATTAGCACTAATCTTTTTATATTGGTTTAGAACCTTATGAAAACTATCTTGCATGCTTAGATAATGATTCATCGGATTTGGCGGACTTGCCTCCGGAACCCGCTGTAAGGTTGCCAACACTGCCGAGTTCATCAGTAGATCAAGCTATGTTTTCTTCTGCAACAAACCAGGTTTGGAAACAAAGAACTTGGTTCCTTCTGGGATGATGATTTTTCTGCTTAATCTGCATTCAATATGAAAGTAGTGTAGATTTCCCAATTTCATTCAATCTATACTATTGATGTGAATAAACACTTTGCAATCAGCAAAATGGTAGTGTATGAAGATGTCCTCTTTCCATTTGCTTTACCATTATGCCATATTGTGTCGCTTGAAGTGAACACTTAATTTCATCACATTTATCACTGTGAAAACAAAAGCAGGCAAAGCAAAGGCCCCCTATGAAAAGAATGGCATAAATAAAAGTGAAAGAACCCTCATGTGTTCATTTCCACCCATCAGACCACTCGGCTTCATCCGTCCAAGTTTTGACATTTTCGGTTTCCTCTGTGTATTCACCCCATCTGTCAGCAATGCTGCTTTCATCATGAATCTGACATTCCTCCGATGCTGAAACTTCATCAACATACACTTCCTGCTTTTCAGGCAGCGCACAGCCCTGGTAGGAGTTGTTATCGACACAACGCCATATAAGCTGGCTCCAGTATGTGTCCTGGCATTCATTTATTCATCAGCCAGCTAAACAATGAAATCATGCAATAACTCTGAGGATCTATATACCGGATTAGCAAATTTTCGCCTACATTATTCCAGAGAATTGAGAATATAGTATAAATAAACTAAGATCTTGACTATGTCTTCTTACTTCTTAGTCACACAAGGTCTTCCTAAAGATTACTCGAAAGTAAATGAAAACCGCAAGTGAAGATTGATACCTTGGCAATTATGTGTGGATTCCAATAATAACAAGCAAAGCTATGGCACGGGTAATGGCCACATTAAACCTTCTAGGATTGCTCAAAAACCCTAGACAATGGATTCTGTCAAACTCATTGTGTTTGATTGTTGATCGGACGGTAGATATGATGATAACTTTCCGTTCTTGGCCTTGAAATTGTTCGACGGTGCCAACCTTGATATCAGGTGTGTCGAGGCTCTCAAAGGCCTTCTGCAGTTTGGGGACTTGCTGCCTGTAGGGGGTTATAACTCCAATATCTTCCTGGCCCAGAATCCCGGTTGCTATCAAACTATTAACAATTTGTACAACCTTGCTGGCTTTGATCCGATTGAACCAAGACGGATTACTTCCTTCCCTCTCGTCACAGCCTTGTATACCAAAGAAAAAGACAGGGTACTCCTTGTTAGGAAGAAACTTTACTGAATTCAATAACGAACTTATGTCATCTTTGCAAGGGATCAATTCACCGTTGTAGAAAAGCAATGAAGGGAGATACAGGATCTCGGGGTGACATCGGTAATTTCTAACCAATTTTGTCACATATTTTTCATCCCCATTAGAGTAACACTCAAGTTTGAACAGCCTTTCTAAGTATGATTTCCCCAGTCCAAAATCATCAGCTTCGGGAGTATGTGACCGGACCTAACTGCATTGGGTCCCAGCAAGCACAACAACAGTCTCTTTTTGGCAAAGGTGTGCTAAAGGGATCATGCTTTCCGGTTCTGAAGCTTGACCAGATTCATCCCAGAAAATATGAGTAAAATGGCCTTTACTAACACTTTCTGCATACAGGAGGGAGGAACTCATGTATGTTGATATCACAATTCCGTAGCAAGCGAGAGCTCTAAGCGGAGGACATTTGTAGATAAGCTCATCAAAGAAGCAAACCGAAGAAAATTCGGCTTGAAATCATCATACGGCCGCGTAGCTGCATTTAGTCTGAATATTTCATTCTCTTTAAGCTCAACAGATTCCTCATTGAGGAGTTTCTCTAGTATGAAATACACACACGAGAATTCGATAAGACTTTTGGGTTTGATAGAGCTGGAGGATTGCCTCCACTATTGTCATGGTCTTCCCTGTACCTGGTGGCCCAAAATCACATAAGGTGGTCCTCCTTTGCAGCCGAGTATCATCTCAATTGCGCACATCTGCTCCTCATTAAGTTTACAACAGATGGGCACTAGCGGAGTGGTTTCGATCACCCTACTTTGGGGTGACTCAGATGGAAAAAGGTGACTTACGTCTAGGCTTTTTGTAGCATCAATGGCATGGTACTGCCTCCGCATATTGATTCGGTTATACGTGAACTGCACATTATAAAGATTTCATCTATGTGGCTCGAGTGAAATTCTAGTGCAAACTTCAAGTACACTTCCTCAGCTTCTACCCGGTGGATATAACCCTGAAGATCACCACATTCACTCGTCAAAAAGCCAGAAGAACTAGAATGACAAATGAAACAGGAAAGGGAAAGAATAAGAATAAGATAACAGAGAATCCATACCATACAACATATAGATGTCGAGATTTACGATTAAGAGTTAAGATAACCAATTGTATTATTCAGATTATGTTTATTCAGATTATGTTGATGATGGCATCGGAATACAAGTATGCATATCCACTAAAAAAGGACATCGGTCTTCAGTTTTAATGACCCCAAGAAGCTTGACCTTAAAAACAGATAAGCATGTAAGCATTAAACCACATATACCTGAATGACCTAGCAACAATGAAGGCCACAGATTGTCCAGAATATAATTCAAATATCACAATTCACACTTCAGCCAAAGAGGAAGGAAGTAACTTAATGTTAAAAAGAAATAGCAAATAGTATTTTGCATGTAAACCAGAACTCATAAACTCGAGCTGCTTCGTTAACATCTTCACATGCAATTTTAACGAATATATGATCTCCATGAAGTGAGGGCTTTTTCAGCGAGCCCGGGACCTGAAGTGATAAATACTTTTTCTTCTTCAAGTTGATGTTCTCCATGTTACATGTCCTCCTGAAGCAACAAAAAGGGATTTCTCAGTTCCATATCATATATATAATCAACCATTACACAACTGAATATTAGAGTTACCTCTAGTTGTAACTCTTCCAGGATTAAGAGATGTTTGAAGTAAGCTGCATAATTATCTCTTGTAAGGCCAGCTTTTATAGAACCAGAGTTGCTTATTCTCGACCAGTTCTCTGATATCCTTCGGAATGTCATACCAGGAAGCTTGTTTCGAGCACCTCGACCCATTGCCCTTGCCGGGCGTGACCCAGTAACATATTCATCGACCGAAAATTGTTTCTTTCTTTGAGTTCTAGAGTATGGCTTTTTAGATGCCAAAGAATGTGAGATCTTGTCTTCGACCAAGAGAAAGGCCACTCTCTCCAATCTTTCACCCTCAACATCAAAATGCTATCGTAGTATGCAAGCCGATTTCCTTTGATTTGCAAGACAACCAAAGGGTTAAGGTCTCTCCGGGCTGTATCATTCGATCCTCTAAATCAAAGAACTCAATGAACTCTTCGCTTGTATTTTCGTCGGAGTTCGCCAATGGAGGTTTCGTCAAAGATAGAGTGAAAGAGTTCTCCGGCCTCGATGCATAGATTTTTACCAGGATTCCACCGGCTCATCAGTGGTGTTTCTGATAATGATGGAATCAAAAATAGTTGCTCCCACAGATATATATTGAGGATTCCCATTTGAAAATGGGAATGGTGTAGAGATCACGAGAGGACCCCCCTCAAATGGATTGAAATTACTAACAGATTCGTCGATTGCATAATCGATGAAATTGATTCCTCCTTTTTCACCAATGACGGAAAATTCGTCATCGGATTTGTCACCGGTCGTTCCCATCACTAAACCGAAAGAGAAGAACTGCTTCTAAACAAACAAAAAATGAATCATAAGCAATCATTAGACCGTTGTATAAGCAGACATACACATAAGATACAGTTCCCTACAGTGTCAAAAGAATGAAAACAAATTTTCAGCATTATCAACAATAATAAACCGACATTTCACTACAGTGACAACCCAATTATGACTTGAAAACAACAGGGAAATGGTAAACAGGATGATAATCAAAAGCTTAAGGGATTTGAAATGTCATCAGAAATCGAACAGAAAAAATCCCAACATTTCAATTTTGCAATGCAAGACCATCATCGGCCATAACGTTCATGTAAAATTCATGGGGGAAAGCAAAACCAGTTCACAAAGCAGAAAATAATAAACCCAGAAACACAATGACAATGTAGAAGAAGATAGAGAAAATGAGAGGAGTAACCATAGCAGAAACATGATTTCAATACCTACTGTACAAAAACTACTAACACTTGAATACGTGAACATGGAACACTATATTGAAGGGGGGAAAGGGATTAAAAAGAAGAAGAAAACCCACCTCAGTGGATCATGAACCGGAAGAGTGGGCCGAAAGATGAAACAAAATGCAGAGAATTCAGGGAGTTCAGGGAGAAAGTACACAGATAAACCATGAATTCATTACTGTTTATAAAAACAAAACCAAATGAAAGGGTCAAACATTTAAGGAAAATGAAAACACGACCCATCTCAATCAGCAGATTTGGAACTTGGGTGGCAAAATCACATTGGCTCTTATGACTAGGATATAACTAGGAGTGTAAACGAGCCGAGTCGAGTTCGAGTATCGACTCGAAAATTCTGAAATAGAGCTCACTCGACTCGAAAACTCACGAGTTTAATATTTTAAGCTTGACTCGAACTCGAATCTTGAACTGAAGCTCTTGATCAGCTCGAAAAGGCTCGAAATGAAGAAAAAAAATTTTAAACCCAACTCAATTAAAACTTCAAACTCGAACTCAAACATGCACCTTAAATATATGAAAATCTTATTATATTTTTAAAAAATCAATACATAATATTAATATTAATTATTAATAATTTTTTTAAAAATAAAATCTTAATATATTTTTAAAAAATAAAATCTTAATATATTATATTTCGACTGCTCACGAGATTTTCGAGTCAAATATCAAGTAGTTCGTTTAAGCTCGTTAAGAATTCGAGTCGAGCTCAAGCTCGAGTCGAGTCCATTCAGTTCGAATATTTATCGAGACTTGATCAATCAATCTTGATTAACTCGCGATCTGTCTCGTTCATTTACGGCCCTA